GACATCTTTCTACTTTTCATCTTCATCTTTAATTAATTGTTTTTTGCTATTCTTTTGTCTATTTTTTCTTCTATTTATTTTTACGAGGAACAACAATTTTAGGACGTTTCGAAAGAAAAATTCTTTAAAAAAAAAAAAATGAGTTTACCTCGTGAAAAACCTGTTAAGCTTGCTAATGATCTTAACATGCCTTTTCGTTTTAACGGTGAGCATTTCAAAAGATGGAAAGGAAAAGTTTTATATTATCTTAATTTGTTAAATTTGGCATATGTCCTCAATGAGGGAAATCCTATTAATTTGTCAACCGAAGGTATGAGTTCTTAGATCCTAATATGATTATTAGCACATGCTTGAATGGTAGACTATTTATTTTAATGGCATGTGAATAAAAAAAAAATATATAGTGTTAACTCGATTACTTTCATATGTTGCTCTTGCAAATGAATATACATATTTTTATCATGACATGTTGGAGCTTAATGATATTATTGGTTTGTTTAATTTCCAATGGCTTGAAATATCATAAATGGAAATTGTTATGAATTTAATGCGTGCAGATATGTGCTCCATTTGCTGCTGTTGTACTCTTAATTTGTGAGATATTTTTAATAGTAAAAGAAAAAAAAGTAAAAAAAAATTACCTAGCATATGAAACTATTATGTAATGATGCAATCTTTAAGGAGTTGTATTTGCAGCTAATAAATTTCAACATGAATGTGTTTTAACTCCAACGGCTAGTAAAATATTAAGTGCATTGGTTATGCAATTATGTGTAAAATATTTTTCATAATCATATATTTTGTTAGTTGATTATTTTTGCTCTCTGACAAATCTTTAGTGAATGCTGTGTTGTCTTACTCATTTAGGAACCATGGAAAATGGTCTATGAAAATTTTGACCAAGTGAAAAGACTAAAGAAGAGAGCTACCCTATTTCGTCCATGCAACAATTTTGGAAATGTAAGCTAAATTTTTCTTTAAGCTTGCGTGACCAAGGACCCTTTTGTGGCGATAAAATGTGAGATGAGCTGATATGCTCTTATGAAAATTTTGTGAGAAAATGAGTTTCTTCATGAACTCAATTATTTGAGAAATGTGAAAATTCACATATTTGAGATGCTCTTAATGTGGGGGATTGTGATATCCTTATATATTATTATTGGTGATGAGACCAATGATGCCTAATTGAGATTTTGCATAGCATTCCTATTATACAATAAGGTGTAATGGTGCTTAACAAAATAAATGTGATATGCATTCCTATTATACAATTATGGTATAATGGTGTATGATGGAAAAAAAAAATAATAAGGCACTTGAGAAAAGGGGTATGTGATGGACATTCCTATTGTACAACAAGGTACAATGGTGTTTGAGTTAAAAATTCTTAAATACATGTTTTGACATGTATGGAAAGAAAAAGGTGGTTCACTAGCTCGATATCAAAAATTGTGGTACCATGAATTGAGAAATTGAGAAATATGAATGTGAATTTTATGAGCTAGCAGGCAAGTGGGTTGATGTGAAAAAGTGAGAATAAGAATGAGTTAAATCTCTTCGTTACCTACTATACCACCAACTAGGCCTTTGGCAAAAACAAAAGTTGGAAGGAAATCTATGATCATAGTCCAAGGTTTAGTGCTCATCGAGGGGAATGGGATTCAAGCCCAATAATGTAGAACTTCCTATGAGGATACCCAACCCGAATTCTAAGAATTGGGTTTCGAATGGGAAAAACGAATCATAGAGAAGTCGTTGTTGAAAGATGTATCAATATTTAACAGAAAAAATTTTCGGTCCCATTCCTAAGGTGAGGATGCATCGATCCCATAACGTATATGAGGGTTGAGTGTTATACACTCTTAATGAAATTTGTAGCTCATTGAGTGGGGTGTCTTAGTTATGGGAGCACCCTTGACAAATTTCACCTATATGAATGTCGGAGTGGGGCCGCTCCTATGAGAATAGGGCAATTCTCTAGATCATCCATGAATACCAGGATTAGGCACAAAGGCCGTAATGTGCCAGCTTACCAAGCTCAAATTAACACCTGGATTATAATGTGTGTGATATGGTCTCTTATATCCCCTAAGTAGTCCTAGTTCAAGACTTTGCTCACTAGTGACTTTGG